TGTGTGTGAGTGAGAGTGTAGACGCGTGTCTCATGTACGCGCCGCCCATTTGTGTTGCGCGTGGGCGAGGGGAGGAAGAGACGGAGGAGGGAGGGGGGGTGCGGGTGAGATGTGGGTGCGACGCGGCAGGGAACAACACCTGAACCCCACCAAGCGTGTGGGGAACAAGGATGAGGATGCCTTCCTTTTTTAGCTGCGCATGCTGCGTGACGCAAGCATCGCGGCGCAAACAATGTCGCGCGATCGACGCGCAGCGTAAACAATGTGATATACAACCAGAGGGCGGGTCGGATCGGCGGGTCTGATCGGGCGGGCGGGCGGGTCGTGTCGGGCGAGCCCTCGTGGGCGGGTCGGGGCGGGCGGGCGGGACATTGCAATATGATGCGTCCTCGAAGTGGCACGCGTGTACCCCATCGGGCGGGTCGGGTCGGGCGGGCGGCTCGGGTCGGGCGGGCCCAGACGGGCGGGTCGAGTCGGGTGGGCAGGTCGGGTCGTGCGGACCCTGACGGGCGGGCGGCGGCGGGCGGGCGGGACACCAAATCATGATGCATCATCGAGTGGGCACGCGCGCACCCTAACGGGCGGGCCTGGTCGCGCGGGCGGGTCGGGTCGGGCGGGCGGGGCTTTAAACTGTGATGCGTCATCGAGTGGGCACGCGCGTGCCCTAACGGGCTGGCCGGGTCGGGCGGGCGGGTCGGGTCGGGCGGGCCCGAGCGGGCGGGGCGGGTCGGGCGGGCAGGACTTTTTAGATATGGTGCATCATCGGTTTGGCACGCGCGTGCCCTGACGGGTCGGGTCGGGTAGGGTGGGCGGGTCTGCTCGGGCGGACCTAACGGGCGGGTCGGGTCGGGCGGGCGGGACATGACAGACTACGCGACCGAGGACCCCCCCCAATACTTATCATGTGTCTTGCGTGACGGTAGCTGACGTGGAACTTGCGAGCATGTTGCTCGTGGCCGTTGTGTCGCCGACATCGAAGGCGGCGCAGTTCAAGTCTTGGGGGCCTGACGTGCCGTGCCGACAGATACGATTGCAACGCCAAAGGAAAATTGAGTTTTCAAGCGTCGCACAGGACACGGTTCGCACGCCGCCGCTTCAACAGAAAGTCTCCGGGAGCAAGCGCTGCCGCGGCCTTCCAAACAATACGGCTCGGGGATCTACGCGCGAGGCGAAGCCCGTCGACCGGAAGTCTCGGGCTCGCACGCGCGCGAAGTGGCGGGGAGGAGTGGCGGGCGCGTTCGGCATAAGGCCTCCGAGAACCCCAGCGAGGAGGCAGGTGTTGCGCCCCATTGCATTCTCGTCGCAGAATCTGGCAGCGAGAGCGCGTACCGTCAGGACTGATGGAACGCGGGTGTAGCGGTTTCTTTGCACCCACGCTGGTTCAGGTCTTCGCTCTGGATTCCCTGATGATGCCTGGATCTCTTCGGCCCATACTTGCATCAGTGTCTCCCACGTGCGCTTGCTGTCCAGGGCCTGGACCGAGGTCTTTGGGTCGGGACGCACAGGCCAATCGTGATCGGGTGACGCCGCTCTCTTCTCCGCCATCCGCTCGTAGTTTGTATTCTTCTTGGCGGCACTCGCTCCATTTGTCCTTCTCCGCAGAGACACTCGTCGCTTTTGCGTTGAGCAGGCTCGTGCACCTGCGGCATCGGAGGGCGCGATCGGCGTCTCTGAAGCTGGGTCGCGGGGCCTCCGGGGAAAACGGTGGCGGCAGTGCCGCGATGGCGCATTTGGGCGCCGTGGCTGAGGCAATTCATGCCCGACGCGCCCGCGTGTTAAACGTAGCTTTCTCAAACTGCTGGAGCCGGGTGTTCGCAATTCAGCGTGAGGGACCACCTGTCTGCGCACCCCCTGTGGCATGGAGAAAGTGCCACGCTTGCCACGCCGCGCGACCCTGAGACGGATAGAGACCACGGCGCGGGACTACCCCCTGCGCAGCTTCTATTGTGTCGAGAAAGTGCCACGCGTGCCACGCCTTGCGACCCTGAGACGGATAGAGACCACGGTGAGGGGCCACCCCCTGCGCACCCCCTCCGTTGTCGAGAAAAGGCCACGCCTGCCACGCCTTGCGACCCTGAGGCGGATAGCGACCACGGTGAGTGACCACCCCCTGCGCACCCTCCCTATGGTGTCGAGCAAGTTCCACGCTTGCCACGCCTTGCGACCTTGAGACGGATAGAGACCACGGTGAGGGGCCACCCCCTGCGCACCCCCTATGGTAGCGAGAAGGTGCCACGCCTGCCGCGCCTTGCGACCCTGAGACGGATAGAAGCCACGGTGATGGGGCCACCCCCTGCGCACCCCCTGTGTGTCGAGAAACTACCACGCCTTCCACGTCTTGCGACCCTGAGACGGGCAGAGACCACGGTGAGGGACCACCCCCTGCGCACCCTCTTTGGTGTCGGCAAGTGCCGCTTGCCACGCCTTGTGACACTGAAACGGGCAAAGACCTCGGTGCGGGACCACCCCCTGCGCACCCCTTTATGGCGTCAAGAAAGTACCACGCCTGCCACGCCTTGCGACCCTGAGGCGGATAGAGACCACGGTGAGGGACCACCCCATGCGCACCCTCTATGGTGTCGAGAACGTGCCTCGCCTGCCATGCCTCGCGACCCGGAGACGGAAAGTGACCACGGTGAGTGACCACCCCTGCGCACCCTCTATGGTGTCGAGCAAGTTCCACGCCTGCCACGCCTTGCGGCCCTGAGGCGGATAGAGACCACGGTGAGGGACCACCCCCTGCGCGCCATCTGCGGTGTCGAGACAGTGCCACGTTTGCCACGCCTTACGACCCTGAGACGGATGGAGACCACGGTGATGGGGCCACCCCCTGCGCACCCTTTATGGTGTCGAGGAAGAGCCACGCCTGCCGCGCTTTGCAACCCTGAGGCGGATAGAGACCACGGTGAGGGATCGCCCTTTGCGCACCCCCTTCGGTGTCGAGAAAAGGCCACGCCTGCCACGCCTTGCGACCCTGGAGACGGATAGAGACCGCGGTGAGGGACCTCCCCCTGCGCACCCTCCATGGTGTCGAGACAGTGCCACGTCTGCCACGCCTTACGACCCTGAGACGGATAGATACCACGGTGAGTGACCACCCCCTGCGCACCCTTTATGGTGTCGAGGAAGGCTCACGCCTGCCACGCCTAGCGACCCTGAGGCGGGTAGAGACCACAGTGAGTGACCACCCCCTGCGCGCCATCTGTGGTATCGAGAAAGTGTCACGTCTGCCGCGCCTTGCGACCCTGAGGCGGATAGGGACCACGGTGAGGGACCGGTCGGGTCGGGCGGGCGGGCGGATCGGGCGGGCCTGAACGGTCGGGTCGGGTCGGGCGGGCTGGACGTTAAAAATGATGCAGCATCGAGTTGGCACGCGCGTGACCCGACGGCTCGAGTCGGGTCGGGTGGGCCTGGCCGGGCCAGCTGGGCGGACCTTAGCGGGCGGGTCGGGTCGGGCGGGCGGGACATTAAATTATGATGCGTCATCGAGTGGGCACGCGCGCGCCCTAAGGGGCTGGTCAGGTCGGGCGGGCGGGCCGGGTCGGGCGGGCGGATCTAGCGGGCGGGTTGGGTCGGGCTGGCAGGACATTGAAGTGCGATGCATCGTCGATTTGGCACGCGTGCACCCCAACGGGCGGGTCGGGTTGGGCGGGGCGGGTCGGGTCGGGCGGGCCCTAACGAGCGAGTCGGGCGGGCGGGACTTGAAACAATGATGCATCATCGAATTGGCACGCTTGTGCCCCAACGGGTGGGTCGGGTCGGGCGGGCGGGACATTGCAAAATTATGCATCACCGGGTTGGCGCGCGCGTGCCTGAAGGGGCGGGTCGGGTCGGGTGGGCAAGCTGGGTCGGGCGGGCCCTAACGGGCGGGTCGGGTCGGGCCGGCGGGACATTAAAAAATGATGCAGCATCGAGCTGGCATGCGGGTGCCCTAACGGGCGGGTCGTGTCCGGCGGGCGGGTCGGGTCGGGCGGACGGGACATTGGAAAATGATGCATCATCGAGTTGGCACGCGATTCTAACGGGCGGGTCGGGTCGGGCGGACGGGCCGGGTCGGGCGGGCCTCAGCGGGTGGGTCGGGTCGGGCGGGCCGGACAGTGAGTTATGATGAGTCATCGACTTGGCATGCGTGGGCCCCAACGGGCGGGTCGGGTCGGGCGGGCGGGTCGGGTCGGGCGGACCCTTACGGGCGGATCGGGTTGGGCCGGCCGGACATTAAAAAATGATGCAGCATCGAGTTGGGACGCGCGTGCCCAAGCGGGCGGCTTGGGTCGGGTCGGGTGGGCGGGCCGCGTCGGGCGGGCCTTAACGGAGGGGTCGGGTCGGGTGGGCGGGGTCGAGCGGGCCCAAGGATTCTTTCTTACTTTGGATTCTGCGGACCTGGGCTGGCGCGGCCCAGTGGAAGTCCGAAGGCACGAAAACCATTGATTTTTGGCTTTAAGGTTGTTTTGCCTTTGTTCGGACTCAGACGATATATGTTTGCTTTTGATTGTATTGGTTTCTTGTCGTTTGTGCTTTTATTATTCATCGTATTGTTTTTATTGTACGGCAATGTGCGTGTGCAGAAACGAAGGGAGATGAGGATGAGTAGAAAGACGAGAAAGAACATGAGAAGGAAGAGGAGGATAATGATCATGATGGTAATGATGATGGTGGTGATCAAGATGAACACGATGATGAGAAAAGCCTCACGCCACATAGTCTCACATGTCACCCTTACGGGGGGGGAGCTTCTGAGGGGCGGAAGACAAGGGGGGGAGGGGTGGGGCTGCTGGCAGATAGGGTTCAAAGGGAGGGGGTGGGTAGCTGCCCCCCCCCCTTTGGAAAGGGGTGGAGGGGGGGGGGTCTGAAATGCGAGAGGAGGGGGGGTAGCTTCCGACGGGCGGAAAAACAGGGGTGGGTGGGTTTTTTTCGGGCAGGGGAGGTTCAAGGGGGGGGGGTTATTAGCTGAGGGGGGACACTCCCCTTTGGGAGTGTGCGACGGGCGCGCTCTCTCGAAG